CAAGATGTGCATCATCCTCATCAAACAGTGCGTCAAGTGCAAGAGAAGGGCGAACGGGATCATTGAGATATGTGACCAATACGAGGACCACAGACTCTGCCTGCACACGAAACACAGCTATTACGACTATATCGATATGAAGTATTTCGGATGCTTCACCTTTGACATAGGCAAGTTGATGAATACTTTTGTGAGAAACTTCGTCTGCTATCCCACCTGTCCGTCCAAAGACATGGTAAAGCCGGACGAGGAGTTCAGCCTACGGGATGCCGAACGTCGCTCCCCCGCCCTTTGACTTATATCTCGCCCAGCGCAGGGAAATAGGTAAGGATCTCAACCTCAACGAATGCGTTTAAGACGATATGCTGAAGATCGTAGTCGGAGACAGGAACGCACTTGGACCAAGCGAGGATGATGCTGGACCGATATGAGACGCAAAGGGGTTTTCATAACCGATGGGATCTTGTATTGTATGAACCTGAAGAAACACGGCGTGTTATTGCAAACAATTAATATCAGTGGGTAGAGGCTGACTCTACAGGGGGCCCTCACTCCGCTGAGAGAGATTCCAAAAGTCATGCCAAAGACTAATCGTGGCGGAGATAACCAGCTTTTGCCCGATCTCTAAACTTGACACCTCTTTCCCCACGCAAGTCTCCATTTTTGACTGCATTTCTTTGAACTGAGGAGCTAAGCTGCTGGTGAGCGAGTTAAAGGGTAGGGCGTCGGTGAATAGTACACCATCATCTGTAGTCAGACTGATACAGACATCCGACACACTTTGCCATGTGTAGTCCCCAGGAGTTTCATCCGGAATAAAAGCCAGTAAGTCTTTGAAAGACATCCTTAGGAAGTTATCCAGCTTTAAGACTTTGATATGACCAGTGTAGGAGTAGCGAATGAAGAAGTTGGTGACGACCCGCTCAGAGTTCAGCAGCTCCGCCTCCTCCGCCGGATTGACCGCCACAGAGTGATCATTTTCCGTGGTTTGAGCGAAAGGAATCGTAAGTTCTGCGTTGCTATCGCTTTCGCTCTCACAACTGCAATATGTATCATCACCGTCGTTGGCAGATGTCTCTCCACACTCGAAGGGATCGAGGACTTTCGGTATTTTGTTTTCCTAGTCATCGACGTTAGTATGGTGTCTTAGGTCTAGGTAGGGAACAAACCTTCTCAGTGAGTGATCCCGTGGAAGGTGACCGTTTTCTCGATCGGGTCCTTGAATCGGAGGACGATAGGTCCTTGGGGCAGATGAGCATGGTCGAGGCAGTATCTTGGGACGACATTGTAGCGAATGATAAGTAGAAACAAAATGATCAGGTGGTATCTTGGTCCGTACTAAGAGGTAGAAGAGAGGAGTGAACGTGGAGCGGGAATGCCTGGCTTTATACTTGCTACAATCATATGATTCCGCCGCACTAGGCACCAATAGACATAACACTGTACACGAGGCTGATACGCATGTCTTCGTTGGCTATGTCCAGGCTGTGGTGACACGTACGCATCTTGAGCGGTGCAACGGACGATAGTCCACCTAGTGAGCCTAGGAGGCTAGCTGAGGATGCAACGAGGGCCAGTAAGACATCAGAACTTCCACTCGATCCCTGAACACAAAACAGAAGAAGCCCCGACGGCCATATTACCGGCTAAGTGGCTTGAAAGTACGCCGGGTCGTAAGGAAGTTGCCGTTGTGTTGGCTGGAACTGGCCCCTGATCAGCTCCGCCCATGGCTCGGATCGTCAACGAATGCGTATCTCCTTCCATCGCGCTGCCACGCAGGTCACATGGACACACTCCACCATGTCTAAGACGTCAGAAGGACCTCAAGATAGACTGGTTGGCCCATGATGCGACCAGATACTGCCTAGATTCGTAACTATCATGCAGAGCCAGTTGGCACAGGTCTGGAGGAGACCACGTAGGACCACCTGACACTCATAAACCCATTCAAGCCGTAGCTGAGACGTCAGGAGCACCTCAAAATAGACTGTCTGGCCTTTTATGCGACCAGATGTTGCCCAGTCCTGGGATCCGTTTGGTTCTTCCAAGCCTCAGGGGCAGGTCAGGCCAGGCATACCAGTGTCCTTGCCGTTACAACCATAGGCCAAGAAAGGTCACACTTGAGATGCCAAGAGCTTTAGTTCTAATTAAGGAACGAGAGAAGATTGCTCCCGTGTCACTCCTCACGGCTACCTTGCAGCTGTCATGGACACGCAGAGTGGTGGGGACTCAGCACACCAAACGACCAACACGTACGCGAAAGGCATACAAAGTATGCCTTACCACTAGTAGCAGTGAATTGCAACGATCATGATTACATGTGACAGACACAAGGGCATAAATAAAGTGAACGAAGTCCCCGAACCCAGTTGCAACTTGGACACTTCAACAACTAGACAACGTTCACTTCAACGCACGGACAACAAACAAACACAACTATGGCTAGTGCGGCTCACCAAACTCCTTCTCAGTTTCTGCCTGCAGAATATGATATTTTTGATAATGTCGATGTCACGGAATACTTCAGCGGAGAAGTCATACCTTTCGATTTCTCAGTTCTACAACATCCGGACGACGAGGAACGAACCAACTGTCAGTATCCAAGCTTTGTCGGACCTGGAAGTACTACGACCCCGAAATACGTTATGACGGCAGAGCCCGCAAGGAGTGACTTGCTCAGCACAACCGGGGATCTTGCCAGAAACATCACTGGGGCAGATGGAGTGCCTCAGAAGCTGGGGGTTACCAAACCGGACAGAAGAAAGGTGGCGAGGAATGCAAGCACGCAACAGTCAAGAAAGATTCGAGAGAGAGTTAGAGAGAAGACCGCCGCTAGCAAAGGCAGATGGAACAATGCCAGGGTGAAGAAGCCAAACAAGCCTGGCTTGTCGAAGGGCCAACTACCTACACCGGGCGAGGTTCTTAACCTTCGCGGGATAAGTATCATACTCTTCGACCAGGAATATACTTGGATCAAACCAAGAAAGAGTGAAGGATTCTGGAGCCTGAGTACCGACGGCGTCGAGGAAGCCGAGCGTTGTAACGGGAAGGACATGTGGGAGCTTGCTCAGATTGAGGATTCTGAGTTTATCCTAGAAGTTCGGCCAAATGCTGAATTTCTGCCTATCTGGATGAGTTGGGATCCCCAGAAGAAAGTATTCCAGGGTCGAGATGCTATTGAGAGCACTAGAATACTCGAGGCCGAAGAAGGGAGCGTGAAGGAGATAGTCAGCAGAGGATTAGTGGGTACTGGCACACTCTATTGATACGTGGGTTCGCTGCATACGAATAACTGATTCTTGTGAAATCTTTTTCGTGCCGTGTCTCTGTGAAGATACCGCTCTCTAGTCGCTAGAATGAATCATAACTTAGATTAGGCTGAAAAGCATGCCCGCCACTAAAGTTGTAGAACGGCCGGCTAAGGGTCGAGTGTATATTATCTAGCTATAGCCACCTTGTAACTTTGATGAAACGCAGAGCGGCGAAGCTACGACAGGGCAACCAGAATCAATAGAACCCTAGAGCTAGGAGATAACTTTCTATCCTTACTAAAAAGAAGCTCGAGAAAGAGCACCTAGCACTTGGACAGTTCCACGTCCATCGGATTGAGGATGATAGGGGCAGGGTACGTTGACAACTATGATATTGATAAGTTTAGATCGAGTATTGCCTTTCACTGACTTACTAGCTCTTGCTCGGTGGGCGGAACAAAGCCGTTTGAGTATCTCCATACTTGATTAGTTCTTCGGCTTCTCACAACTATACATACGTCCACATCACAGTCTCGCTGAAGCTGATGGACTTTTTTCAATAATGTCTGGCGTCTTTTAGACAACTTTGTTGCACGATATTTCCGACCTCGACGTGCGTCAAGTGAGCTTTTCTGATCAAGCGACTGTGTGCATTCCACAAGGCTTGTAGAGGTGCCAGGGTGGTTGCTTGTTGAGTTTGCCATACTGTGTGTTTGATGAACAGGATTTGAACTGCTCAAACTCAATAATATTCGCTCAAGAAGGCTCCTTTTATACATCAATTCGAGTTTAAATAAGCGTTCGGAGCGTTTTCGTTTTCGTGTGTTCTATTTTCATCACGGAGAGCAAGCGTATAAGCGCCTGAGTACGTTCTAGCCGCCGAGCCCAACTCGCACCCTTTTTATTTAAGCACCTTCCTAGGTCAATTGCGGATTACATCACAAGTCGCAAACTTAGCTCTACGATGAAGGTCGCTATAATTTTCGAATTCCATTTGTTAGATGCTTTTCTTGCGCTTGATATTGTGTAAAGGTCCAGGCTCTTCTTCTTCTCGCTGTCGCTTTGTGCCTCGGGAGTACCCATCCGCACCCAGTGCCTCATGATTCTTATTCTCACAAGACATCTCAGAGTAGGCCTTACTGCCACCTTCTTCCCAGTGCCGTTCGCAGTGATCGATCCAGCCTTCCACCGTCTTCTCCATCTTAGCGTTGCATAGGATACAGGTCTGTGTCTTTTCAAAATGGCCTCTAGGCCCATGAAACTGACGCAAGTGCAAGCTGATGCCTAGCCTTCCGGAATACGACTTATCGCATAACGGGCATGGCATCGCTGGCATGGGCTCAGCTCCCGTGAGGGTTGGCACGTTCCTTTTCTCATGCTCTCGCTCCACGTGGGCAGCCCAAGCCGGTCCTCCGACGGGCACGAGTATATTCATGCCTTGCAACTTGCATACGGGGCATTCAAAAGGTTCCACGAACTTGTGACGAGATTTGACATGCCTCGTAAGCTTTGACCGATCCCCCAAGGTGTCGCCGCAGAGGAGGCACTTCGCCTTCTCACGCTTTCGTCCGGAAGGTCTCGGTTTCGACGGTGGATCTTCCCGTATGCTTGTTGAACTTGCCGCTTCGTCTATAGATACGCAGATCGCCTCGCCTCGTAGGTGATTTGTGATTAAGGCCTCAAACGCCGGCTCTGCCTCGCCTTTATCTTTCTTGAGGCCTCGATGCTTCCCCAAGAGCTTTCCTATCTTCACGGCATCCTGGCATTGACCTTGATAGTGAGAGGCCCGGGGATTTTCTGCGGCGGCAGCGCTACGTATAGCCTCGGTGCTCTGCCCGGTACTGCGCAGCATGTCAACCTCTTCAAAATATGCCTTTCGTAGCTCCGCGACTCTAAGTCGACAAAGCCAATCCAGGGTCCACTGTATCTTGGCGGTAATCCTTTTGGCCTGGGCCGAGTCGCTTGACGATCTCGCAACCTCCGCAGCATACTGCTGTCGTAGTTCTCCTATGTCTTTGCGCTTTTCAAAGCCGTCGTATTCTTCCTGGCTCACGTAGAGTGGGGCGTCCTTATCCCGTGAAAGTGATGCGTTCCTGAGGGTTTGGTAAAGTTCCTTGTCACTTTCAACCATGTCTCGGAATGCAAATCCCATCAAGTTTTCTCGAACATGCCGTGGCTGGTAGTTCCGTTCGTATACTTGAGTCGTGTTCGATAGAACATAGTTGCGGAGTGGCCCGCCTATTTCCCCTGCGAATACCATGAGTCTTAAGTATACGACCGCTGTAGAGGAGCTCACCGATACGGGCGCCAGCCCCCACCCTCATCGACGTCGGACGCAGTCCATCGCGGAACCCGGCAGCCAAGTTAACTAGACGCCAAATCTTGTAGTACTGATGATATTTTATCGGGATAATCTCTTTGTCGGCCATCTCCGGTTTCCACGACACCTCAAGGTAGTCCACGCCTTCGAGCCGTGGTAGGGTGAGGAGATCCTCCACGGAGGTGAAGGGCCTTGTGAATGCCTGATCGGCGAGAGCTCGCGAAACAAGCAAGCGCGTGAGACATATGAGGTTATCTGGAACCAAAGTGATGGAAAATGACAACCTGAACTCTCCTTGTTAGATACCAAGCATGAGATGGGAATAGAGTACCGTACGTCTCGTCTTGGGAATCGCGCGCTTTATGCGGGCTTTTCTTGTTATGATGAATGGTGATATTGGCAACAAGCTTAGGACGTTGCTGACCGTTGGGATCTCGAACCACGATAAAATTCACGTCTCGGTACCTCATTTGCATAAGAACCTCAGGACGGAAGCCACCGATCGCGCTGGCGAGAACGACGCTGTGGAATGCCACGCGATCTGATGGTGTGCACGAAATATCAATGGCTCGAATCCATAGAGTTTCCAAGATAATAAGCACATCTGTCGTGGTAGCTTCTCGTTTGACAAATGTCTGCTTCAGAGTGAGGTTCTTTTTTTGCGCCAACTCATACTGTATCGCCTACGACACGTGAGCAAAGTTCATGTTTCTCTTCGTGGTAACTCACGCTGGCAACGCGATTAGCGGGCCCGCGATTACGCCCGCCATCGTGGTTCGTGTACTTCAGTGTCCAATGTGCCCTGTTCTTCGGGTCACGCTTCCGCGCTTGATCGAGCACCTTCTCGTCTGCGTGTGCTATCAGTCCTTTCCATATTTGCAATAGAGCGTTTGCAGAGGTGATTGTCTGCACATAAGCATTCTCCTCTGGTCCAAGGACAGGTCGAAGAGTTTGGGAGTTCTCCACGCAAACCTCGAGGAACACGAGGCATAGACTCCTAGCCTCGTCCTTGTTGTCGCAAAGATCGAGCCAGATCTGCTCTGGGTCTTCACCTATTTGCGAGAAGAAACTAGACCGATTAGCTGTTCTTGTTTTCTTCTCCCAGGTATACTCACGCCTGCCAATCTTCCCATAGTTGATCTCGACTTGACTGGGTCTTGTCCGACAGAATCGAGTAAGTGTCGCGCCGGGTGTCTCGCCAAAACTGGAGTTTCTCGCCAATAGTAGCCTTGCTCTCGGGTCGCAAGGAGGCAAACCGCTTGGAAGTCTTTGGTGCTGACATGTTGGACCGTCGCCCATCGGTGGCAGTGAGGAAGAGGTGAAGCTTGGAGAGTCAGGGGAAGACTCTCGACTTTATATTCGGCGCGAGAATAACGCCCACGGCGAATTATGTAAGCTACAGCAAGACCAATGCGGCGACCCTGTATGCCACCGAAGACATATCTTCCATGTGAGCCCTGGTCGCCATTGTCGCTGGGGGCCGTCCCGCGCAGCATGGCGTGAGGATAGGAATGAAAGGGGTGTGGAAAGGGTCATGAGGACGGCCGACGCTCGTCGTGGGCGCGTCCGGTAAAGCCCCGGCAAGACGAGGAAGGCCAGCACTAACAGATGGAAGCTCGCGGCGCAGCCAAACGGTAAAACGGTGAAAGCGGTTGCGGGGGGAGAAAACGGTCGACGCGGACGGTAGGTTCAGTCACGTGACGCGGGACCAACATAGCTAAGCCTCCCCTCAGCGGCTTGACTATGGGAGAGCGGACGGGATCCCGTATTTTCCACTGGGTGTGGTCGTATGTGACAGAAAAGTCTGTGATTTAGACTTATCATAATAATGCGGGAGGCTGTTACACGTGACGGCCGTCTGATGTGGTTAGGCAGTAGCCGCATGAATTGCGACCACTTTCCTATCATCATTTGCCTACCCTATTGTCATACTTCACACGATCCCACGCAACAGGGTCAGGCACCCCGGACAGTCAGAGCAAACCTCGAATTATGCGGACCACTGAAGTGAGATAGACGCATGAGGACTGGTATGTGATTCTTGTGAAAGTGCACGTGGCTTGCGTTAAGAGGGTGGTTTGTTGACAGTGATTAAATTGTGTTCGACAGTCCCGGTGTGGCTGGAATAAATAAAGGGGATGCGCAGGCTACGTGTTGAATTCAAGAAGATAACACCACAAGAACGCTCTATGATTGGGCTGAAATAATTCGTTAATAAATATATACGGAACTGAGTTCTAAAGGGTAAGAAATATATAGTCATCGCGAGACCAATACCCAAGGCTTAATAGTGACGATACAGAGGAGGGAGACGAGCAGCTTCACGAGGGGCACAGTGACGCAAACGGTGACGGAGGCACTGACGGAAGCACTTAAAGACGAAGAGGATGGAACGGTCGCAGGTAGGACCTCGATGGTAGGGGTCTAGCAGCTACGATGTTGATGGCTGGGTTGGCTGTTCAGGAACCGCTCGTGTTCGAGATGACGTTTTTAGCGTCATCAATCTCCAGGCACTGGATCGACTCCTTCTCGAAGGTGTGCTTGCACCAGCGGTTGCTGGACGACTCGGGCATGACCTGCTGCTTCAACGGACAGATGAGGCTGACAACATCCTTCTCCAAGGCAATATTCTCGTCCTTGTCCTCATCGCCGTCGCTGCTCAGGTATATCCTTGCCACCGCCCGCCACGACGGGGTTGCGCCGGGTGTTGAACCAGCAGGCCTATATGCCAGAGCTTCTTGAACTGGTGTAGTCGTTTCCAAGGGCGTAGAACTGGTGGGAGGAGAAGTGCTGCGTATTTCTGTTGCTTCTTCGCTCAAAGATCTTTGTAGACGGGGAGGGGCCTGTCGAGGTGCTCGTTGATTTGGTTTTATCGTTGGTCTATGGCGGTCTCCTGTCTGTGAAACATGTCTTCGGGTGGGGGTGGGAGTGCATTTAGGCGAACTAAATTACGGGAACGCGGTGCATGCTTCCTTTGAGGCTACCGCACAACAAAACATTTCACTCCCAATCGATCACATTCCTTTCGTCGACAATGGCCCTTGCGCTCTACGTCCCGCAATGTATTCGGACTCCGGCTCATCCGTTTCATCCGCCGTCGATAGACAAACCGGTGAGGATTCGAATCGAAGGGCTTTTGGTCTCGGTCTAGAGGATTCTTCCTGAGGCACTATACCATGGCATGTGGATGTACGGCATCACGTTCGACCAACTTGTTCCCGCCGACGAATACGACCCCGAGGTGCTGCAGATTAACATTCTCGATATGGACGAGGTGGTAATGCGGTTGCCAATAGCCCACGGGGTATACTCGACCAAACGATACCAAAGATACAATATGAAAAGGTCCCTGCGCCGCGGACAGGCGCGACATCCCAGGAGCCGGGATAGTGGTAACTCAAAAAGTAATAGCTCAACATCTGTTTCCGTTTCTGCTCTTATCGTCTTAAAGTCATTCTAGGCATCGATCTTTGGCGACGCCTCAAACTACGACCATCGGTTTGGGCGTTTGGAACACCTCTTCACTCGGCCGCTCGACGGCCCAGGAGGCTGTAAGATGCAAGAAGAAGCCAGCAACGCTCTAAGCGAGGGCCAAATCCACTTGGGCTCGATTCAGCAAAGATGGCATTATTGTCGAATAAAAGCATGATATCCTTGATGGCGGTGGGCCGATAGGCATGCCCGCGCCGCGATCCCCGCTAAGCGTTTAGTCCTGGAAGGTTCAAAAACCCAGCGTTCAGAGTACGATCTCTGATCTAGAGTGACTATCTCCTCGACTGTGGTAATGCCTCAGCATCGGCAGTGCTTCACAAACCCGGACTGCTACAGTGGTATGTGTCCTTTATTCGAAAACGCTAGGAGATTGTGCCCTTGAATGTTAGTGTGGCATCCTGGAACAAATAAGGCGGTACATCGAGCGTCGGCTGATTCTGGTGTGTGCTCATACAATGCGTAAATAAATAGCTTCTATTGGCCACGATCCTTATTCAAAGTGGACATGAGACATTACTATAGTCGAGGAGAAGGTAGTGCACGCCACGTCTCCCACACTTTAACAGAAGACATCTGCTTATTTATTCGTCTGGAATTGTCTTGGATTTAGTCACATGTGGTGACTTGATATGAAAACGAGTGAATCCTGTCTCTCATCTTTGAACACGTCCGAATTTCAGCCCAGGTCCAGCCACTGTACAGCCTCGCGGCTATGCGGCACGACCTTCTCCCACCCGCTACCTTGGCTGCCCAATTATTCATGGCTTGTTGTCAATCTATCACTGACAATTGCGTTCGCCAACGTTGCTGCTCTCTCTTCTTTCGACTGTGCCGTCGCCGCGTGAAGCCAACATGCTTGGCTAGCATTTGCAGGACGTTGGAGTTTCTATTCATGAGAGGTCGTTTCCTACTTAGGAGGCATTATTTGACCACCTGGCTAATTATACGTCGAAGTAAATATAACCTTAAATTCGAGGAAATACTAGACACGCTGCTAGTCAAGGTTAATCTCGACCATAGTCTCTCGGTACTTCTATCGTGTAAATTGCTATTATAAGCAGACTATCTTATAACGTAATTACTAGCCCCGAAGGCCCCGAAGGGCGGAAATATATATATCCTATATTACCCGGTACTGTCGAAGTATTAACGTAGGTATCGACTAAAGAACAGATTTACTTTACTTTATGCTTTATTATAGTATTAACGTTATAGAAACTATAAGCTATTCAAATAGAAAATTCCACGCTAACAAGTAGATATTCTCCGCTTCTAGTCTTAGCCCGCACCTAGTAGGGTAATATAATAGTTAATAACCTAAAGAATATAAGAACTAATCTTATTAAAGCCGCTATTCTCTACGATATCGATCTACTAATTTTGGGATTCTAGGAGAGCGGGAGTATCGTATATCTTAACTAAGGTATAGTATTTTAGTATACTATTACTATATCTATTAGTAACTAACTATAGCTTAGCCGCTAGAGAACTATTAACTAAGGCTACTAGTATACCTATGAACGATACTAAGATCCTAGATATAAAGTCAGCGGTTCGCTTTCCTATCTAAAATCTACGCTAATACGATTAGATAGTTAATTTTTACTTATAGCTAAGATCCTAGGACCTTTAGATACTAGTGTGTGTGTGTGCAAGTGTGTATAATCGAGGAAATAGTAGATTTTAGGGGCCTAGAAAAAGGCTATTTGAATTAATAATCAAGAGGCTGATTTTAAGGCCTTTAATTATATGTTCGTTCTTCTTTTTCGTGGTCGATCGTTCTGTGTGCTAATTGCTTTATTCTAGCTATCTCTAGACCCCTCTTTGCTTAGTCACCGCGGTCCGACCCCTTTCGGTCTGACAGGAGTACAGTACAACTCCTGTAAGTTTGTCCACTCAGTACAAGGGCCGCGCTAGCAGGGACCTTTGAACGAATCAAAATCAGAGATTTACTATGAGCCGCTGCTAGCGCGGAAATTCATATCGTGCCGTAATAACGGTTTAACGGGGCCGGGCCCTGTCGGTCTGCTAAGCAGCTACGCGACTGGGGTCAAGTTGCGAGTGAACAAACATTCAGGGGTTGTGCTGTAGAGTAAACTACTCCGCAAACCCGATCCGTGATCTCCCCCCGAGACGGCTACTGGACGCCACCCCCGGGTCACTGTAGGAGGGCCAAGGCACTAGCAGGGGCTGGCTGCAGCGGTGGCTCGTCCTCCGCTAATAGGTAGCATGGTTGGCTCTTGTGCGCCTTGGTGGATGACTCGTATACCCGCAAAGGACCGTAACAAATTAAACTGCCTAGGCTGCTTTGTTTTGCACCTAAGTGATTTGTGGTGGCGTGGCATGCTTGGTTCGGGCACAAAGATATGTGCCTTGTTACCTCTTCTGTAGACACTCTTCCGTACTCACTTCCCACTTCCCACTTCCTACTTCCTCTCTAACTTACTTTCTCACAATCTTCTTCCCTCCAAACTGATTCCGCCCTCATTTAGAATCAGTATGGCTATTCTATCTCGTTGGCTGCAGCTTGTCACCTGGGCATGTGCTCTGTCTTGCAGCACGGTCGCTACGGCTGCCTCTGACGATCTACCCGACTTCGACGATCTATCGACTGGCATCACGGAATTTCATCAAGTCTTTCCTCGCAATGAGACGTACGCCCCTTCACCCCTGTTTCCGGTTGTGTTCGTATTCCAGAACCCGATCATCGCCCAGTCATTGACACCGTTTCTTTCGGCCACCTTGTTCAAATGGAATCAGAGCATCAGTACCTGGGATGTGAATGATACGACCAATTTTGACTTTGGAGAAATGGCCAACGCCTCTGATAGCGCGCCTTTCTTTGTTCATCATGTCTTTAGTGGAAACTTCGACACAAAGGCATATTGGAGTCTCGCCTGGAGTCTCACGTGGGTTAACTGCACCGAAGGGGAGGGCCGATAAATACACCCTTATTCTGGAAGTTTCCGCAACTATATACGTTTTACGACCGAGGAAGGTGGCCGAGAGCCTGATTTAGTTGCTTCTTTAGATGATTCCTAATGCTCCGACTTCCCGAGCGTTACTTTAAATATCACCGAAATTAGCGAACCGTACCCTCAAGGCTACCCAGGCCAGTGGTGTGCCTACTTCTCGTCAGTCAAGCCAGACCCGAAGCCCTGCGAGGTAGAGGTTAGCTCGGAAGTTCAGGAGAGTATCCTTGCTTCCGCTACCAACGTCTTCTGTCGGGGACTAGAGGACGTGGATTGCCCGTCCGACGAAGACGACGAAGAGGGCCATGGCGAGACCATGCGTGGAAGCCTGGCCGCCACTGTCGCGGCTTGCTTTGTATCTGTCGCAGTTAGGATGAGCCTCCTTATAGTGTAGATATAAGCAATCACAACCTAGGCGTTCGCTTGCATAGTCCTGTGTCTGCCCATCCTTTCCGTAGAGTCTTTAGAGTCTTGTGTGGTATGTTTCGGCGTATATCATGACCAATCGGCCCTTGAATCCGTCCCCAATCTCGTAATCTTCTGTGACCTTCAGGTCTTTCCCCCTATATGCTATCTTGGTGACTTTAAGAGCTTGCCACAAAGAGTTCTAGACCTATTGAATCGAGCTTGTTTCTTCAGCCGACTTCCCAGAGCATCAAAAGGGGTAGGGGAAGGGGGAAGAAGGGGCTTTTCGTTCGAGTCAGCTGTCACTCCAGGCTAATTTTTTAATTTATGATAATGGCTCTTAATCAAGAGCTATATAAAAACTAGGTCTAGCGTGCATAAGCTTCTGGGCAATTTTAGTAGTCTACGGCATAGTCTGCTAGAGAAGGAAAATCTACAGCTCATGAGCCTTATCACCTAGCTACCTTCCACTTCGGGATCACGCACCCTGTAGAGTGCCTCAGAGAATCGACAAGCCAAGACAGTCTCTCCGCGTTGGACCGACGCTAATATAGCTGCTAATAAAGTCATACTGCAACTGTGAGGCGGCCCAGGAACAAAGGCTTCATTGGTTCTCATCGACAATGCCGCGCCTTTCCATATTGTAGGCCCACGATTGAAATTGAACGAATGTTGAAGCTTTACACACCCTGGAGTAGTGGTGCATCTTTCCATTTGTAGCGACACCCCTAAAAATGCATGTCCATAAGTCGTACCGCTCCGGTGTGGATGACCAGGGTCCTCCGACCAGGCATGTCCATCCGTTCCGGCTCTCAAGGCATATAAGAAATGTAAAGATAGACGAATTGATATCTTCTTCTTTCTCTTTCCCTTATACTTATCCACGGTAGTCTGTTCGCTCATTCGCAGACTGTTGAAGTTCTGCCATTCGCTCCCTACTTCTTGACACTCAATTCTACCGAGCTCAAACAAGCCGAAATGGGGTCTCCTATTCGCACAGCGCTCCTGAAGCTCTCGGGTCTCTTGTTGGCCGCGTCCAACGCTGGCCCAGCACTAGGCTCGGAGTTTAGACAGCCTGTTAGCCCAGGATATCGTCCCGCAAGCGACGTCTGTCCCATGCGATGCGCAGATACTGGCGCAGACCCGGCCAACTGGCAAGCCTTCCCGGGCTTTGATTAACTCAACCACTGCCCTGAAAACATATTCTACGACTTCTCCCTCCTTAATAACGTGGATAATAGGACCGCACCTTATCGTATCTTCGCCTGCACCTCTTTTAGTCCTGATTGGATAAGTCTCCTTAACTCGACTCTGCACGCGGCTTAGGCTAACACCGCCGACGTCGAGTATGAGATTGGCTTACTGGATAAGAGTATCTCTGGTTTAGATACTTTAGCTATTCAATCCGTTTTAAAGCAAATACGTCGCTACTTTAAGAGTGGCTTCGGCGAGGCTAATAAGACGGGTGTCCTCTTTACTTAATCCGGGCGAGCCTCTTTAGGTC